GAGGGTTTGGAGTGGGAGAGTGTTGTAGCGCGGTGGTTAGATCGGCACCGTATGAGTCCCGGGGTGAGATTCATGGCTGACCAGGGTGGGCGCTGGTGGATCGCGCTGTGTGGTGTGGAGTGGGGGGCATGCGGGTGGCTTCAGGTCGGAGGGGGCCCGGGGGGAGGTTACGGCAGGTGTATATGTGCATGTGCTGGGTGGGATGGGATAGGAAGGGGTTAGGTACAACATAACTTAGGGTTTTCAGGGGCAACACGGAGTACGGCATAGGGTACTGCACAGTAGGGCATAAAGTACGGCATCATCATACATCCGGTATGCAAAACCCCCAGCACACAGTTAACCATGTACATGATTTGCAACGTACACGCATCCCTTTCCCCCCATTTTATGCTTCGCTCTATAACTCCAGCCCGCCTCACCCCCGCCCCATGCTTTCCCCTTCCCCCCCAACCCCCTTTCGCTCCGTCCTTGGCGCTCCACTACCACCACCGCCACACACGACGCTGAAGAGCCGTTATGGCCCTCCAGGGAACCCCCCGCGGAGCCAGCGTGGCCGTCGACGCCCCCCTCCAATGAAGACCCCCAAAAGACGTACAACCATGGCCTTGCCGTACTAGCCGACGAAGTACTTCCCAGCGTCGTAAGTCGTCCGGAGCTGAAGCAACTGATCCTTTCAAGGGCAGCTTCTGCTGGTACTGCCCCCCAGGCTGTTAGTTTAGATGTGCAGGCATTGGTCCTTCAGTGCCCCGCCTGCTAAACTTGTTTTTGCTATTTTTTATTTTGTTTCTTCTGCAACTACTGCTACGTCGTTCTCTGCGCCCGCAAAGCGGCTGAATTGCGACTACCAGCAACAGCCTGGGGGACGCTCAAGCGGGGGAGGTTTGTCGAGGTCGTCCATGTAGCCGCCCGGCCGCCCGGCGGTTCCCAAAATTGCTTCGCTATTGTTGTGACAGTGTTTTGTACTTGTCGGAGTATATCGGGACTCCTAGATGCTTGCATGCATGCATACATACAGGCATACAGACAGACAGACGGGCACGCAAACACGCGTCGTCATTCGAACACCTTCAAAAAGCACATTCCCACGCACTATCACGTCGTCGTAACGTCCTTTGGCTCGCCGGGGCCTCGTCTTGCCTTCTCCTTGAGCAGTGAGGGCACCTTCCACATAATAACACATATACCCACCCACACATTCGCACAAACAAACATATCTACGTATGTACTTACGTAACATACATACACCTCCTCCCACGCACATACATACGCGCACACATCCACACGACCACACATCCCCCCCCGCTGTGCTCTGTCGTGTGCAACACCTCCGTCAACAACACCTCCACGGGGGCCCGCGCACCACCAACGCCTTCCAAAAGTACGACCTGACCTTCACCGTTGCGCGAAACGGCCAGCCCATCACGGGAACGGTTTGCAGCCGGAATGACGACGCCAACGTCTACATCTCCTGGCCGACCCGCACAACCCTGTGCAACAACGTAAGAGATTCAAGGACGGGGTCGAGCTGGGGTTCTAGAATATTCAGAAAATGATAAAAAAAACAACCATTTCAGAGCTGGTGTACCGGGGCGTGTCATATGAAAGGAGGGCGGGAGGGGTGGGAGGGGGGAAGGGCTGCCAAGTGTTTTAAAGCTGATTGGAGTGTGGCCCCTGGGGGATGGCGAATGGTTTGACAAAGGGGACATACCCCCCATCCCAACCCCCCACCCAGCCGCGCCACCCTGAGCCCTTACCGGCTGGCGGCAGT